TTGGAAACGAGGGAGAATAGAACCCGGAAGTTAAGCATGCTCAAGCTGGAGTAGTGAGAGGATGGGTGATCGTCCGGGAAGTTAGACGATTTGGAATGATGAGGGGTGATTAGAGATTCGAGGTTAAATTGAGCAGTGATGAGGCGTGATTAGAGATTAGAGGTTAAAATAATTCAGAAATTTGAAAATCAAAAAAAAATTCAAAAAATTTCCTTTAGTACCGGTTGGTGTTACTAACCAGGACTAAAGGTGGACCTCCAGGCAGCGGCCACGTGGAGGGCCTTTAGTCCCGGTTCGTGTAAGAACCGGGACTAAAGGGGGAGGCTTTAGTAACGACCCTTTAGTCCCGGTTCCAGAACCGGGACTAAAGGCCCTTCTGAACCGGGACTAAAGGCCCTTTTTCTACTATTGACATGGTGGCGCCGGGGTTTCCGCAGCTCGGCGACAGGAGCATGCCAATCGAGGCGGAGACCTACATCCGCGTCGGCATTCGCCACTCTGACCGCATCAAGAAGATGAAGGAGATGCAAAAATGAAGAAATGGGAGTGAGTACCAGTTAGTTAAGTGTCAATGTTTAAGTTCAGTATGCTTTTGCAGTCAGTGTTTAAGTTAAGTTATGTACCGAAGAACTGCATGTGATGTACTAAAGCAATGCTTGCCTTTTGTAGTCAGTGTTAAGTTAAGTCAAATGGTTGCCTCTTGCTGTTTAAGTTATGTTTAAGCAATGCTGGACCTGTTATGTACTGAAGCTGTTTAAGCAATGTCAAGTTGTTATGTACTGGAAGTGAAGTTGTTATGCAATGAGATGTTTAAGCAGAAATGTTATGTTGCATTCCACAAAACTATAGTAGTAGAAATGTGTTCATCATATCTTTTGCACCCTCAATAGTAAATTGTTCTAGCCTTGCCCTGTTGTAGTTGAAAATCACTCTGTTTGGTGATTTTTCACATCTCCAAAACCTTTTCTGAAGATCATGGTCTAGGTGTTTTTTCTTCCAATTAGCATATATGTGTCTAGCACACATTCTATGCTCAGCTTTAGGAAAAATGTCCTCCATTTCCCCTATAACTCCCTTTTGCTGATCTGACATAAATACATATCCATCTCCTTGATTGCTTATTTTCATGTCCTGGTTTATTTTGGCAAGAAACCAGGACCATGACTCATAATTTTCTTTCTCCACAATAGCCCAAGCAATAGGATACATCTGGTTATTTGCATCTCTTCCTATAGCACACAACATTTGTCCATAGCAAGCATGTTCTGTAACTTTTTTTGAGCAACATGCCTACATGTTTTAGGAGCATAATCATGTCATCTTTGCAATGATGTGATCCATTTCTTATGATACGCCCTGTGGTGACTAGCACAAGCTTGCAAAGTGGTCTAGTCACTGTTTGCTGTTTTCCAAAACTTAGTAAATTCTGCCAAGTCTGAATCTGTTATATTATGATGCCATGTTTATTTGACGCTACCATAAAATCTATGCATATTTTGGAGATGTTCAGTAATCATGTTTTGAAGAACATGTTATGCTCTATCCATCCATATCCTTGTTTGCACTTTCAGCCTGCTGTAGTTTGTTCTTTTCATGCTCTCTGTTGGGGATATGACTATTAGGTATGACCCGCCCAGGAGGGGCCAGGTTATACCTATGGCGCCAGTTCATCAATATGAAGCCCATGAGGGTATTGAAGATGGCGGTTCATAGGCAAGGGCCCAAGGCCCAAGGGCTACTTAAGGACCATAGAGGTAAACCGCCATATGTGTATGACTTATATTGTAAAGCAAGTATATTTAGTCACCGAGCCGAACACGTTGTCTATGAGCCGGCCGGACTCCATGAGCCGCTGGGCATCAACCTATGTATATAAATGGACGACTCGGTGGCGGTTCAGGGCAAGAAACAAGAGATCGAAAGCTAGGTCAAGCGTATTCGCTCCCTGGCAATCGAGACATAAGCAATACCACCTCAAACTGGATTAAGCCTTTACCTTCACCGCAAGGGGCCGAACCAGTATGACTCATGTGTCCTTTGTCCCATTTAATCCCTTTAAGCTAACCTAGCGGCGATGGCTCCACGACTAAGTCCTCACACTAGGACATCTGCCATGACTATTCCACGACACTCTCAAATTGCTTAAAAATATATCTGTCAGCCTGTTAGCAGTAAGTTCAATTTGGCAAAGTGCATAGTTAGTGCTTTGTGCATCCTATGACCATATTCTTAACATGAGTAGATGCACAAAGATGCCATCTTACTGTTGGTTGTATTTGCATGCCATGATATGTTGTGTGTTGAGTTAAACAAGCATGCAAACATGCCTACTTAATTATGTTTCTGCCATGTCTAGTAAATTCCACCAAGTCTGGAAACCTGTTATCATTTACAATCCTGCCATGATGTTTTAAACATGTTCTAGTGGTTTCCAGCAGTAGCTCAGTAATCATGTTTTGTAGTGCTTGACATGTACTTCAATGCCATGCCCTTGGTTTTCATTTACCTTATCATCGTCGTAACTTTCTTATCTATTTGTGTATGCTATTAGAAAGGGATATTCGATACAACCAATGCGCAAAACCTTCTGTCTTTCCTACGAAACCAACTTCCGCCTGGATAGAATAGTTAAGTGAGAGCAAGGCTGAAGTAGAGCATAGAGCCTCGACCAAGCACGGAGATAAGAGAGGTCGCTTCTCTCTATTAGCTAGCTAACACAATATGAAAGCCCTAAATTAACCCTCCAAAATCCCTAAAAAAACAAAAACCGCAGCTCCTGCTAGCTGCTGACGCGTGGATGCCTTTTGG